CAGAGTGAAGCAAGTGACTGAACACTGAAATCAAAATTATTATTATTATTATAAATTATATGTTAATAAATATTTTTAAAACTATACTAAAATGCTTGAATTACGTTTAGAAATTTGGGGGTAGAAGGTGGGGGGTTAAGGGTGAATTCTCATATGCTCTCTTACCTTACTTATCCAAAAAAAGTGGTTAAACCCCCCATTTAAAAATCCTGGCTACGCCACTGCTTGTTAGTGATAATTAATATTGAAGTACAAATTAGTGTTTGTTGGATTTGTTTGTATATTAATGAATATTGGGAGAGCTGTATCCGTACATTATGTACACGAGTTTCATTAATTTCAGGCAGTAGTATTTTATAGTCTTCCTAATGACTATAGTTTTTCCTTGATTTGGCCTTTTGTAAAATATGCAACTACTCTTTACCGTAAATTTCAATAACCATCATCTATTATGGGTATTAGTCGATAGGAATATATTACATACGTATAACATATTTCCGAATATAAAAAATTATATATAATTTTCATTAATCAATCAGATAAATATATCGCATTTTGTCTCTACATATATACAAATTACATACAATATAAAAAGTACAAAACAATAGTCTATAAGTTAATAACTGCTTATTGAATTTTTTGATGAGAATACCTAATATAAATATTAGAAATTAGGTTCATGTTTATTATAAATTAAAGGTACGATTAATGAATAAATAAGATAAATGTATTAATTAATTTTCTATGATAAAAAAAAAAATAAAATTAAAAACATAATGACTAATTTATTGTTTGAACAAACTATAAGTATGAGTAAAGTATTGTACATATGTAAAAATATAAGTCATATTTGAATATATTATGAATGATTAATATAATTCTTAACTAATATTCTTTGATTATATTTCTTATAGTTATTTTTTCATTTCGTTAAATGTTTTTATACAAATTTTTTAACAAATTTCAAATTAGACAATACTTTGTATCAAAATTGAAATATATTCAATTTAAAGTAATACATAAAATATAGGTAAATATTATACCATCTTTATCTATTCGTATGCGCAAATAGTATTTGAAATTTGAGGGGCTGAAGCTGAGATCTATACTGAATGCTTTTACATCATAACGAATCATGTAGTAAAATCTTTAGATTTTGGAGGGTGAGTCCCCCTCCCATTTGCGTCTATAGATGTACGTAATAATCCTTAAGTAATTAAATTGTAAAAATCTTTAGTAACTATAAAATTAATTCAGGAATGTGGTTATTTTTGGTTTTAATCTTGTTTAAAAAGTGTTTAAATATTTGGGTTTAATTAAAATGTATACATCTTAAATGTGGGAAATTTTTTTTATATTGATTGCAATTATGAAAAGTAGAAAATAAATAAATCATTAATTAGTTAATCACATAATTTTTGTTTGTATCGTTCCATATATAAAGATCATGGCCATTTACATTCTTAGATGATAGAGTATTACCAGACTGATTTTTGCATTTAATATTCTGAAATTCGCTCATTTGTAAATTACCTGTCATAACGTTACTTTTTATTTATTTTATTAGATTTTGGTAACATTAGTACAAAAACGGTACCGACGAATTGCATGCGCAACCTATAACACAACCATGTCGCATAATTAACAAATATTATATTATACAAGCATGTGATTGTGTGTCGATTGAATACAGCAAATATGATTCTAATAGTCGAATAATTATGTTCATATTATTCATAGTACATCCGTATTTTACACATATCATATTCATGGTTGCACTTATTTCAAAACGATTTCTTTCTAAGAGCTATGTATACGCTATATATATACAGCACCCCTGCTATTGTTCTATTTTATTTTACTCCAACCCTTTTTATGGAGAAGATGAGATATATTTTACAATGGGAGTGAATAAGAAAGGTTGACGATCATTGGTGGATGGTTTTTTTAGGTGCTCGAGTTTATTATGCAAGCCGAGAAAGAAAAAAACAACCCTTCTAATAAAACGTGTGTTTCAACCAATGGCGCACAAGGTCGAGGGGGAATGTAAATATTTTTTTTTTTATGTGCCCGGGATATTTTTTTTACTCAGTCCTTCATTTTTTTTTTTCAAAATCGTTTATGTTTGGCTCACCCATTTATATGATTTTATTGCAATACAAGCGGAACCTGTCAAAAGCGTTTAGTTACAGACGGACAAAAAAAAAAAAAATAAGTATTATATAAATAAAATAAACACTCCTCTATTCATAGTTGTATCGATGGTAGACGATAAAGATGTTTTGTATTTAAATGTGAAAAATGAAATTTACAACTCTATATATACTCTATATATAATGTATATGTAGTGGTATGTAGATACTACGTGTAAGGGTTACCATTTTTATTAGAGTTAGGTACACTTTTAGAATTTTATGATATGATGATATAAAAGAAAAAATTCAATTTAACTATTGTTCATACATATTTCTCAATAAATAATAATCATATCAATATATTTTATTTAAAATCTTAAAAATGTAATAATAATGAAATAATAATAAGCTGCATTGTTGAGTAATTTATACGTTGGTCATTGTTAAACAAATAGGTTTGAAAAAATTCATTAGAAAAATATTTAAAACTATATAAATAAATTACTACTAAAATACTAAAATATCCGTGAGTCATATAATTACAAGAATATTTCTAAAAAGTTATTTACTAGCTGTATAATACAATAGCCTAATATTTTAACTTCAAACAACAGTTTTAAAAGTACGTGCTTAGTCATAATTTCAAATAACTACCTATAATAAGTTGAACATACGATGTTTATGAGCCTAGTTATCAAAGATGAAATCTGAACTTATAGGCATATAAACAATATATATATCTGTAACTCGTTAAGCCATGAATCCTATTATAATTATTATTTATTAATTTATTTTATTTCATATCTTTGTATTCAATTATAATTTTTTTTTGTTTATTTCAATTAAGAAAACCAGGTAGTACCTACTACCTACTTATGAGTTATATAGCTATCAATAACAAACCTATTAACGAATGTCTTCTATACGCTATAGACTCAATTGACTATATGTCTATACTATAGTACTCATTTACATACATTAGAAACTATTGTTTATTGCACTGATTCTTAAAACAAATAAGTATTTTATGTGTTATTAAACTTACACAAAATGTATTAATGTTTGAGTGTATTGAATATAATATGGCAACATTTTTTTTGCAAAAATTACACTGAAAAAATGTGTTTCTCTTGGCTTATAATTAGGTTTACATTATTATTTATTATAATTACTCAAGTGAATTGTATGAATACCGATCGACTTGCTCTCGGAATTCAGTACATTAGTAGGTAATGTAATAAATTGTAATTACAAAAGATATTAATTAAAATAAGTTAGTTTTATTATAAAATATTTTATTGAAATTACTATACAACTATTTTAGCTTTCAATAATTTTCCTAAATATTTATTTCTTTTACAATAAAAATATATGATTGACTATAAGAATAAAATTACCATAATCTCATTATTAATAACGTTATTACTGACATTAGCTGTTCTAATATTTTATTTATGAAATAATTGTATTATATTCTAATTGTATTTTATTCACTTATAAATAATTACTAGTTGATAATCACTTTTTTTCGTGCAAAATGATTTTAAAAATTATACACGCTTCGCAACTATCTTCGTTCTACAATTTATTACAGTCATGTAAGTAATGTATAAATATTTTATTTTTCAATTGTCAATGGGTTGATTCTTTTTATTTTTATTAATTTATGTACACTTGTGAATAAGAAAGAATGACATTTTTCCATTATTGGTTGATAGACATCCTATGGAAGTAGATATTGTAATTAATCAAATATATATTAACGAGAATAAAACTGAAATAATTTATGTAGGTTACTTCTATGAAAATCTATCAAGTTATTTTATTGTATGAATAGTAAATCAATGCAGTTATTATGTATTATTCTTAGTGATAATAATTTGGCTAAACCACCCTGTTACTAATCATGTATAGATACATTTAAAATGATATTGACAGATAGTATGAATGATCATATATATATATATATATATCTGTGATAGTAATATAATCCAGCGTTGTAATTAGAGATAACTATGGATCATAACTTATAGCTCTAAAAAAAGTAATTATAAGCGCTATAATATGTTCTTAAAAATATTCATAAAAGCACTTAAATATGCACTAAAAATACAAAAATATGTGAAAAAAATACATCATGTAAAAAAAACATATCATGTATAAAACAAAAATGTTAAATCTTATTAATTTAAAAAGGCGTTGGTGCAGGGATTTATTAAGCACCATCGATATATGAGGGTTCTGTCACTGGACAGCCTCCCTTCTCATATTATATCATCATGTAAATATTTTGTAAAAAAAAGAAATTCTATTTGCTTATTGTACTTATGTTACAGATTATAAATATTCTATTTTAAATAAAAATAAAAAAAAATCTTATTATTATTAAGGAAAATTTTTTTTTAAATGCGGAACTGAAAAAGACTTAAAAATGCAAAATAGTAAATAAAAAATTTCAAAATATGCAAGAAAAAGTCTGCAAAATAATAAAAAAGCAATATAGCACTTATACTTTGAAATATGCAACATATAGTTTCGTATTTAGCTTTTTAATTACTTGAAACAAATATATAACTCATATAGGTATTTCTAGGACCTCTAAAAAAAAAAATATGTAAATGCTATAAGTTATGAGCCTTGGAGATAACATTTGATGAGTACTAATTTTCTTTAGTTATGTGTCTTCTATTAGTAATTAGTAGAGTAATGATTTTAATGACTTGCATTTTTTTTTCAAAATGCTTTACAGTTTTAACCAAAAACTAAAGTAGCTTTGACACGTTTTATTTGAACAACGAGTCTGCAAAACATATTTTTGAGTATAAATTTATATTATAAAAATAGAACAACTTGTAAAAAAATTAATTATTTTACTTTTGTGAATCGATTTTTTCTTGATGGACAGAAGAAACATTTTGTACGGCTTGTTACTACATCACTTGTTGTTTCCTCATTTGACTTATATCCAGTCAATTTCAAAATATTTTGGCGAAGTGTAAATGATAAAGTAGGAATTTGTAAACGTCTAGTCATGTGATTTTTGGTTAGTTCTTTCCCTAATTCTTTCAAAAAAAGTCTTCGAGGGATTACTTTATTTGTATTCTCGTAATATATTATCTGGCTGTTAATTCCGGCAATATTCATTAGTGAAAAGAATACTGTAAGTGACCACCTACAGCTTACTCTTGCGACAGAGTACTCTTCTTTTTTTTCATCCACAACATCAACACCTGATTTTGTTGAATTATAGTATAAAATCACTTCGGGTTTTTTGCCAACTGTACTGTCATCAATCAAACCTTTTTCGTGCATTGTAGATATTAGCATAACATTTTTGTTTTTACGTGGAACGTAGGATAATAAAATAATATTTTTCTCATAACCGAATATAGTTGAATTTACCTCTCTTTTCTTTGTATCTAGAAAGCATTTCGGAATTTCTCGTTTATTTTTCCTGATGGTTCCCACAATAGTTAATTTATGATTTTCCAGCAAGTCAATGGCCAAAGGTATTGAGGTATACCAATTGTCCATAGTTATGTTTCGTCCTGTTTTTGATATTGGAGAAATTAACCTTTTTACAATGCTGGAGGGGCTATTATCACATTTGAATGGTCCATCTGGTTGGGTGCCAACGTATACTTCCATATTTGACGTGTAATATGTTTTAGAATCGACTAATGCTTGTATCTTTATCCCATATTTATTCGGCTTGCTCGGTATATATTGCCTAAAACTACATCGACCTCTAAAACCTTCCAACATCTCATCGATGGTGCAATTTTCACCGACGGAATAACATTCAAGACAACGTTCTACAAATCCGTCAAAAACAGAACGTATTGGTGCTAATTTGTCTGTAGTCTTTCTATAATTTCTTGTTTCAATGTCATCAAATCTGAGCTTTGTAAAATATTATTAGCAGATAATATTCTACTTGTTAAATTTAATAACACATTTTTTAGAAAAAAATATAAAATTTGAAATTCCAAACGAGTCTATATAGAGTAATAATTATGTTGGAACGTTTTTTAACTAACGGAAATGGAAATGTGCAATAAATATGTATATGAGTTTAATAGATTAATTATATTGTATGGACCGTTTAAATATACACGTTTTAACATTCATTAGTCATTTGTTGAGATTAATTGCAAATTTACAAAATTTCAATAAAAAAAAACATTCATTAATTACTCAATATATATTGATTAAGAAAGCATATAATATAATGATAAGTACATTATATTTTCAATACATACTTAAATCAATTTAAAAAATACATAATTATAAAATCAATGGTTTAGTGATTTGGTTATGATAACTATTTTCCTGTTAAAATTGTTATTCAATAATTTAATAATTCTCACAATGATAATCTTAACTATTTATAAGATATACCTAAACAATTTTTTCGTGTAAATTGTATGTGTTGCAAGGCAATTCGGGCGATATTTTACCGCGCGACATTTTACCACGCGTTATACTCATCGGAAAACACACAAGATATTTTACCGTGCAATATTTTTCATGTTAACGATGGCGGACAAGAATATTATTTTGTAAAATATTATTCAGCTCCTTAAATACCGGTTTCATTTTACAAAATATGTCTTTCCAGCATTTTCTTCTTTCGTTTCGGTCTAAGTAAGAATCTATTGTCTTGTCCCACAATAATGGCATTTCTTCTATTGACTTTGTTACAGATCAATATCTAAAATATCTTCGTCAAGCTTTTGAAAGTTTTCATTTAACAAATCCATGTTAGAATTGATCGACATATTTTCAGAAAAGCAAGTCGAATAACAATGATTACATTTTGAGTGAAAAATAAAATTCTATCCCGCATTTATTATTGCTTGTGTGTTGTCACTCATATATTTCAATGTATAAAAACGGCAAGTTTTTGTCGTGCGATATTTTTAACGTGCGGAAGGTCCAGTGCACGCAACACTTTTCGATAAGTCGCGCATTAATTTTACGGCACGAAACTTGTGTGTTGTAGTTTAATCATTTTAATGTACTTTAACAAAATGCACCGTAAGATTACGGCGCGGTAAAAATGTCCTGCTGTAAAATATTGCCGGTCTAAGATGTGTTCTCATTTATAGATATAAATTATGGCGCATAATTTAGTTGATTTTAAGTTTGGATGTTACTGTTGTAACCCCACTTAGTTACTAGGATGTATCCAGATATTCACCTTTTTGATTTAATCGTCATGAAAATAGTAAAATATAATTATTGAGTGAATGGTATTTATATGAATAAAATATTCATGTATGTATCTTCGGATTTTGGCAAAATATTTTAGAAAACGCTTATAATCATGATATATTAGAATTCCTAGTGAATAAAAAATACTCAAGAAATTAATTTTAAATATTCCGATACTATGGTTATATGCAAGGATATATTTAGACTTACTTCTAGGGAGGGGTGACTCAAATTTTTTCTTTAATTCAAGCTCAAAATGTATAAGTAAAATTGTTGGTAATATTTAAATCAGGTGAGTTCTTAATATTTGTGGTTTGTTTTTTAATCTAATGCCGGATTAGTGGATTAATCCACTTAGAATCGACTTTTGGGTACATTTTTTAACACTTGTCTGTGTTTTGAAAGTTACGCTTGAATTTGACTTGATTTTTCACTAAGTATGTACCCGATAAAAAGCTCAATTCAGTATTCACAGTCACGCGTAATTTGATTTCGTTATAAAATGATCCACATTAAAAAAATTTGAAATGTGTATCTCACATATAATCAATTCCTTAAATACAGATTCAGGGGAGGGGCGATCGCCCATTCGCTCCTCTCTAAAATACGCCCATAGTTAAATGGGTATTTCCCTTCTGCGAGGCTTTTTTTTTTTTACTGTTTGGCGGAAGCTGTAATTATAAGTTAAATTACATTATTAATCCAAGGACTAGAATTTATATGCAATAAAAAATTGTATAATATGCATTTTATTTACCAAAATATGCAAAAATATGCAAAAACAAATTTTTATTATTTCTAGAAATATGATTTATCAACTTGTTATTATTACATTAAATATTAGTTTATACTAATATAGTTTATAAGTCATAGTTATGAAATGAAGTAATTCTGTTCTGTCTTACAATTTACTCTCGTCAGCCCGTGCAGACCTCTAATAAAGTACGTCTTAAAATAATGTGTGGATAATTATATCTGTCGTCCGACCATGATAAGATTATATATGTAGTATATTTATGACGATTCGAAAAATAAACATTCATTAGATAAAAATTAACATTCACTTAAAAATAATTGCAAGTTTAAAAATTAATAAAATTAACAAGATTCTCAAAAATCTATAAATACGTAATTATATGCATTATGTTCAATATATGCAAAAATATGCAAAATAAAAATGGTCCTATTAATTCGACAGTAAGCCAAATCGTGTACATAGTGAAAACCAATCAATTTGGACTTGAGGAAAAAACATGCAAATGCACATAAATCTTAGCCCTATATATGAAATGACTATAGTCATTTAATGCCGCAATTTTTCATAGGCATACCGCGGTAAACATGTAAAAACGTTCCTCCTCCCCTGAAAAATTGTACCAAATACACTGCTGCTAATATGCAATTTCCTACTTTTAATAAACATTAATTTCAATATTTTTTTTAATTTATTTTTTTTAAAAGCATTCTTGATCATTTAGGTCCTTTTCTATTAATATAAAATTCTTTTATGAATTTATTAATTTAATTTTAATTAGAATTATTTTAATAAATACATCATACGACCAAAACTGTAGTTCAGTAATAACGTCTCCTTTATTACTTTGACTTCTAGATAGTAGTTATATTTAATCGATTACATTAATTATCAATTGTATTTATTAAGATATCCATCTGTTGTAAACTGTAGTGTTATTTCAAACGGATCACCAAAACGAATTAAAATTACTATAGCAAAAATAAAAATACAAATGCGTTTAAATAAAATAAAATTATAATTTGGTATAAAATTATAACAACCTGATATCGATGATCAGTTCAGATATGATATTATCATAACATACATAAAAATATATACAGGTATAACCAATGAACCAAACAAATAATTATACTAATAATGTGAGTTTGAGACGCAGGTGAGAAGTCCTATACATGTTCTTATTATAAAAATTATAAATGATTCGTTTTCTTTTAATTAACATTATTCTTAATTTTTTATTTCGATTTCGTATAAACTAATATTTATTTAATTTGTATGCGATGGTATACGATCACACAAGAAGGGGGATGGTCTCAAGTTACATATTATTGCTTAATTTCAGGCCTTTTTTTCAGGTGAAATAAGTAAAAATGTGTATGTTACATATATTTATAAAATATAATATTTGAACGTTGAAGATTAAAATTGATGGAATCGTAGACAAGGTGCACTTTATACATAGTTAATACTTATTTTTTATTTAACTACATAGTTTAACAGTTATTAATGTTTTACATTTTCAAATCTATGGAAAATTTAACTCTAAGCAACTTCATTGAATTACATTTAACACGAACTATGTACAACTTAATCAAATACCTACACATAACAATCGACATATTAAAGTTTAATATTTTTGTTTTTGTTTTTTTTTAAATTGATTGAAAATTAAAAATATAATCATTATACCTTGTTGTAGGCTTATTTTAAATTAGGAAATTCCAATTATAATTGTTTATTCGAACTGCTATAGCACAAATTTTCAGCTGCTGAGAAATGAGTCAACACGCAATATAAAGACGTATTTAGGCACTCGTGCAAGTTGTTTACCTAAGAAAATAGGAGACACTTAGGTAGATAACACATATGTTGAATTTCAAATAATATTAAGATTCAATATAATAATATTTTAACGATCATAAACCTTTATTTCTCGATAACAAATTAGATAAAATAGTACCTTGATTTTAATGATTTAAATTTTTTTGTATGTATAATAAAAATAATAACAAAAAGAAAAAAATACGTTCCATATATGATTCTCATTTTTTTTTTTGTATTTAGGGAATTTCCAATAAAATCTATATTGATGAAGTTTCTGGAGTAAGAAAGAATAATAAAATAATAATAATAATAATCAGCAGACACATTTTATCATTATGGATATATTTTATTCAAGAATAGTAAGAAGCATTTAATGATGATTTTTTACTAAAAGTGACTTAAATGCTTATATTTTCTATAGTCAAAGTAAATGGTTATTATTATTTTTTACATTTTCAAATTTTACCTATAAATAAACAATTTTCAGAAAATGTTTGTTTGATTTTTTTTCTTATCAACGGTATTTTTACGGACTTTGGGGAGATACATATTACAATTTTATATAAGTGTAGTATAATAACATGAGTATTATGTATAAATAATGTACATTAATGTACACAACGAGTATTACTGAATGATGGTCGGGCGGTAAAAGCCAGCGAGGGGGATATATGCGGGTATTTCTACGCGGAAAACGAAACCATATAGTATCGTTAAACTCAGCGATTATTTTACGGCAATATTTCGAATACGGTTTTATTAATGTAGCGTGTTGTTGAATGGACCGCCAGGAAACAAGTGATACGACGAACAAGAATTGAAAGGCTGCCGGTCGCGCGCTAGTCGCGATTCCATTTTCCCGTACGCTTACGCGGGTCACGCCGTCACGTTTGTCGCGTGCGTGTCACGAGACTGAGTATCCAACACGGAATCGCGCAGGACCTTTATTCAAACGGTTTCAGAACATTTTTCTAGAAATTCAGTTTCCTAATAATGTCTTAACATCGTGTGACTAAACGTGACGACGATGTTTTCATTAGTTTTCTCAGAGAAAGTGCAAGAACAATAATCATTGCAACGATTAATAGTTATTGGTGGTGTCCTATTATAATCCATGGGATTTTCGCCGGTGGCATATACGTAACTATAATAACTATTCGCGGCGTGTGGCGAGACGAGTTACTACGACGGAGGCGAGGCGGCGTTCGTCGGCGACGGCGCGTATTCCTATTGACAGAGAGCGTCGGAAAAAAACACACACCCAATTACGGGGCCGGCCCAATCCTTTCGCCTCGGCAAACGGACAGGAGTGGGGAAAAAAATAAATAAAAGAGGAAAAAAAAAGTGGACGAGGAGAAAAAAGCGCACGCACACACACACGCATACACACACACACACACACACACGAGTACACGCACACACGCGCACACGCACATGAGTACACGGTTTGGTCGGTGGGCGTGTATCGTCGTCGTGCACCGTCGTCGATGGCCGGGCGGCGGTGGGGGCACGTCCGTCCGTTGGGGTAGGTTAACCGAGAGAGTCGCCCGCAGCAGCAGATGAACCTGCAATAATCGTTGTCGACGCACAGTACGCACACCGGTCCTTGCTCAGTGTCCCGTGTATCTTTCGCGTGCGTTAGTTAGTGTGTATTTGTGTGTGTGTATGTGTGTGTGTGTCTTTACTCGCCCGCGCGTGTCGTTGATCACGTGCGATTTTTTTGTTATTAATTAATTTTCATTCTCGCCGTCCGATACGGACTATAATATTCGTATCAATTCCTTCGGACTTCTGCGTGTAATCGTGCAAATAATTGTACTGTCGGAAATGTGGCAGCAACCAGAGTCGCTCCTCCTCCTCGTCGCCGTTGCCGCCGTTCTCTAAACGCACTGCACGGAACTTTTCGACGACGGTCCGTCGTACCGCCGACAGAAGAGAAAAATATCCTCATCATCGTCTCTGTGTTTCATCCATTGCGGTTAAACGGTAAGTCCATTACCACTCGTTAATAACAATAATAATGATTGTCGAGGAAGGATACTTTTTTGATTGAAATTAATTACCGTCTATAGAGGTGGCGAGTAAGCCCTTATGTTGAAGAGAGGCGTTTAAATTGGCTAGGGGTAAGTTGATTGAACGGGAATGGGTTTACCGACTGCTAGAAACCCTTTGATATGTATGTAAACACCTCTTTCGCGCTCATTTCTCGTTGAGATTTTTATGCTGTCCCTCCTCGACAATAGTTCCGAACACGTTTTTGTCGTATTATATTACTGTTTACTAAAGGTAGTTTCTTATTTGCTCGTAAGCACGTACTATTTTAGTTAAGTTATATTGTTCGTTAAGCAAATCTTTCCTAGTCATAATGCGATTGCTTGAAAATGTCTGAAATCTCGTTTCTAATTATATATATTATTCGGAGTATAACAAATTAAAAATCGACTCTGAGGTATAATGTATTTTTAATAATTGTAAAATTCCCCTTTATGTTAAAAGAAATGCCAATTAAATCGAAAGCTTTTACATTTTAAGACAAAAAAAATTTTATACAAACACCGGTTTGACGGAACTTTTTCCATGCCGATAAGTTAACAAGATTGTTTATTTTTGTTGATACCTTATTAACGACGTACTTGTTAGATATCGAGAAGTGATAAAGATATTATTGTAAAAAAAATAAATTGAATACCTTCATACAGGTACGATATTATGAAACAAATAATTGACGGTTTGATTAACATTTTATTTTTAACCAACTTGTAGGATCAAGAGACTTATTGTATAACTCACTATAATTATGTTATTCATTCTCCAAAAACTTCTCTGTATTTATTTTCTAAGGGTAGTCATTTTACATCGATTTTAATTTTTCCAAGTATTTGTCAATTACGACTTAATGTGTGTATAATTTTCAATACTCTTTGATGACTATTACCTTTCCTGTCAAATTATACTTACACGTAATGATTAATTATATAAACCGATTAGGGTAATATACATTTTCGAGTATTTATGCTTTTTTTTTAACTGAACCTCACTTTTTCAAACATATGGTTGATACTTTGATTAAAGTAATTGCTGACTAACGGTGAACACTATTATCAATACTGAACTAAACTGTGTACAGCCGTATTTCATTCATATTATTCAATAAATAATAAACATAAAAGTAAACATTAATTGATATTATTTAAATATTATTATTATTATTATTATTATTATTATTATTTGAATAGTCAATGATGATTTTTTTAATTAACTTTTTTTTCCTCGAAATTTGAATATAATCAACTAGTTTGATTATATAAAATAATTAAATCTAGGTATATCCTACACTTATATTTAAATAGTTGTATAAAATTTAATTTTACATTATTTATTTACGAATTATATATTATAATGTATATAAATCTTTGATTGAAATTGTGCATAAATACATAAATGTTTTATTCGTGAATACGTTAGGGATTTGACAAACAAATAAGACAAATATCTGCATTTTTCATTGCGTTCATAAATAACTAATATCTATAAGTATCCATGGAACTAAAGTTTTTATTAAATATTTCGAATGCATAAACTGTAGTTTTCGGGTGGAGATTCCAATTTTCAAACGGAAAATAAGTCGTAAAAATAATGTTCAATTTTCAGCGAGAAAGCTCTCACTTTTCTCTTATTTTTCCCCCTTGCGCACCACATCGTTCTCTTTCACTCTTCTTTCCAAATGAAAACCATTTTCTTCAAAACCACACATACACACACACACAATTCCAAGAAAGAAAAGAAGTAATAGTGGTGGTAAAGGACGAGCGGAATATGACGTAGGAGCGAAGTGAGTGGTAAGAGTGGTGGAAAAAAAAAGAAGGGAAAAAAGTATATACGACGACGGCGGTGGTTTCTATCCCGATCATCTCCTTCCCTTATTCATTAGAAAGGGGCCCCGTGCTTGAAGAGGCATTTATTTTATGGCTTTTTGTTTTGTCCAGGGAACGGTCGGCCATTTTTCCTCTTCCCTCGCCACCCACGCCGCGCACATCGCCACGGTGAAAACAAAAATGAAAAACTCGACCCTTGCGGCGAAAACGATTTTTTACCCGCTCGCTTGGCCTTCTTTCACACTGCGCCCCCCGGTCCAATCAATACCGGCAATCATCGCTTCTCTCTCCTCTCCGCGCCACACACGTACTCGGTGAATACGACGACGTCATGCGCCCTAAAACTCGCTGGGGCTTTTTCCTTCCTCCTCTTATATTTTTTTCCACTCGTGTTCCTTAAAAATCAATTCTTAGACATATATATATATATATATATATATATATATATATATATAGTACATACCGTTGTATACTATCGCGCATATAACATATCGTAACGTAGTGTGTATTCTAACGTCTTATTTATTTATTTTCTGTGGTTTTGCAGAAAGAAAATGTTTTTGGAAAACGAACACCAGCCAATTATTAGTCATTCTCCGTATGATTTAGCTCGTCCATTGGATCACCATCATCTAAATCATCATCTCCATCATCATCAGACCTCGACAAATCATCAGTCAGTCGGTGATCTACACCAAGATGATTCGGAAGGCAGGAGCACGGCCAGTTCACCGACGTCTAGCTACCGAGACTTGTCGGGGTGTGAAGACTTTGACCTGAAAATCCCGAAACCTACCGGTGCCGGTTCCGTGACTGGTGGCGGAAGTGGTGGTAGCAACAAAGAGCAGAAGCCAAAAAAGCACAAGTGCAAGCATTGTGGGCTGGAATGCACGGAAAAAGTGCAGTACTGGAAGCACATCCGCACTCACATCAAACCGGAACAGCTGCTGGAGTGCCCAAACTGCGAGTTCGCCACCGACCTGAAACACCATTACGAGTACCACCTGCTAAACCATACGGGTGCCAAGCCGTTTACGTGCCCGGACTGCGACTACAAATGTGTGAGCAAGTCGATGCTCCAGTCTCACCTCAAGTCACACTCGAACGTGTTCCAGTTCCAGTGTTATGACTGCGGTTACGCGTCCAAGTACATGCACAGCCTGAAACAGCACCTAAAGAAACGCGACCACCGGCCGGCCACGCCGCTCAACCCGGACGGCACACCGAACCCGGATATCGTGATAGACGTGGTAGGTAATCGGCGCGGGCCCAGACAGAACAAGAAACAGAACCGTCACAACCCGTACCATCACCAGCAGCAACAACAACAGCAACAGCCGACGATAGTGTCGTCGTCGCAGGATGATGGGGGCAGCAGTAGCGGCGGACATCCGTCTCCGTATTCCATGCAACAACTGCTGCAGTTGCCTTCGTCCGGCGTCGCTCCGGCCGTGTACTCGACCCCGGCTGAGTCTTTCATGTACTCGATGATCACCAAGCGTTCCATGGAAATGGTCGATTACCAGGCCGAGTACTTGGCCATCAAGAACAATAACAACAATTCTACGGCTGTCGACGACAAGATGGACGCTCAACAGCAACACCATCATCACCAACAACAACAGCAGCAGCAGCAGAAGCACTATCACCAACACCACCACCACCATCACAAGCAATACCATCCCGATGATGTGGTCCAAGCCGAGGTGGACAGCGGCGATCGGACGCCCGAACCACCGGTCGTGGTCACTGAGTCCTCCGCAGTAACGTCCCTGCATGTGTCCGCCGCTGTCGTCGAAACGGGACCGTTGAATTTAAGCAAAGATTCGGTGGCTCCACGTGCCGCAGGTAGTAGCCGCCGCAAGGGCATCGCGTGTAAACTCGAACGTCCTGCCGTGGCCGAACAACCACCGCCACCGAGAGTAGCCGCCGCGACGATTCTCCAGGCGCATTGCCATGAGTATAAGGTTAAGGAGGAAGTGCAGCAACCGACTAAGGAGGAATTGCCATTCCAGCAACAGCAGCAACAGTCGCCACTAAACAAGGAAGAACTCCTCTTGTCGCAACATCAGCAGCCGCAGTCTGTATCATCACCTGAAAAGGACGACGAGACGCATGTGTGCCACCATTGCGATATCATTTTCAAGGAGAACATCATGTATTCGATGCACATGGGTTTCCACAGTTTCAGAGACCCGTTCGCGTGCAACCTGTGTGGCGAAATAACGGCCGACAAGTTTTCATTTTTCGCTCACATAGCTCGCGTACCGCACAGTTAGACGGCGCACCACTGGTCACCACCACCGTCGTGTGCAGTCCTCGTTACCGGATGATCGCCGTTGTCGTCATCGCAGGTCCATCATCGGGGCCAATGTTCCTATTTGTCGCAGCCACCATCACCACCTTTCGGCAACCGTAGAGTTCAAATTTTAAACAAATTATCCTTAAGTAAGACTTAGGATTTATTGTGAGAAAGAAAAAGTATTATTTTTAAGTAATATGTTTATATTTATACCACTAACGAAGAGAAAACACTTAACCTACCTCTTAACTAATGATATTTTAAATCGGCGATAGCAGTAATACCCTCCGTAACTCTTGTGTTTACGCAGGGCTTTCGCTATGCTCGTTTGCGTTCATAATTTCTTTTTTAGTTCTATAATTTTTCATTCGTCGCGTTGTTTGAAAATTTTATGTTACCGGATCGCCAAATATAAGGTTTTCATTTATGCGCGCAGTGAATAAACCACCGCCGGATGGGTATTGTATTCGATTTTTAAATAATAAATAAGTTATAACATTTTTTATTTAAAAACCGATCACCACTACCGCCGGTAACCGTAATCGAGGTTTTCATAGAATCGTAAAAAGAAAATATTGACTTAGACATTTATCCATATGGCCGTGGTAAAATGTTAAAATAATTGTTAATTTGTTATAATTTAAACAATTAAATATTTTTTTATCGTAAGACATTTTCTCATAAATAAAATTTCAAAGTTTGATCAAATTTTATTTCTGAGAAAATTATGGTTTTGATATAAAAATATTTAATAGGTTTCCCCAACAAACAGTTATCAATTTATTTTTTTCCAATTAGATTATACTTTTAATAATAATTTGGTATTTTTGACTGTTTGAAAAACTCACAAGAACAAATTTATTTTTGATTTGTGAAATTTACCCGTTACTTTCTCTAAAATATTTTACTTAAAAATGTCTAGTCCCATTTTCTCATAATATGCCTAGAATATACTCACTAAATTACGAAAAAACATTAATTGGTTTTTGTGTTTGTTGTGATAAGGTTGTTTGACAGCGGGATATTGTAAAAATAGTTAAATATATATGCGAAAATCCCTGTCGTTGGACAATTTTTTTTTTTAGTTTTAAATTGTAAATGTTTAAAAAATATATATGAATTTTATTGTTGGTGCTTGAATGTATTATAAAAAAAAATCAGCGTTATTGGAAGGTCTAGTCAATCTTACCCCCTCGTCTTTCCAAAACATACCCATACGTATAAAACCGTGTGTGGGGTCGGAAATAACTTAGTGGATTCGGCAAAATTTCTAGTTCGCACATCTTTTGGATATTTTGAATAACTTTTAAATTGTAATAAAAAAAACCTTAAAATTTGTAAATATTATATTTCTCCAGAGCACTATTAATTATTACAATATAATATAATTAATATTAGAAGTGTGCCTAAAAATGTGTGCTTAAAAATAAGTACACATTTTTATGACAATACTACTTTTTTTATTTTTTTATTTTATTTTTAGATTGTTCATAATCAATCCTTCCCTGTTTCCCTCATACTGTGATTTTAATTGAGACTAAAAATATCTTTAAAGTCCCGCCTTCAATGATAATTTTAACACTTCGACTGTCGCGTGTAATTAAGTATTATACGCACCTTTCCCAAACGAGCTGCCGTTCTCGTATATATGAACTATATTGTGTACTGAGGCCTAATGTCTGATCTCTGTGTAGCATGAATGTTTTTGTCACTTGATCTTATTTTCTATGACAATATATATATATAACAATTTATAAATATATAAAAAAAATGGATGTATAACTAGTGTAAATATCTGTGCAAACCTAAGTGAACCATAAGGATTTAATTCTTATTATTATTATTATTATTATTTTTTTTTAAAACTTCTTATTTTCTTTAGACGAAATACATGTATATGTGTACCCATGTGCCAAAGTTTAATAATTATCATACTTATCAAATAATATTTGTTTTGAAAAGAATAAACTTTACGTTTACCTATATTATGTAATTATGTTTTTTTCCTATAACATTTCCATCCTCGTCCTAATGTCATGCCTATAATATATTATCATTTTTTTTTTTTTTTACTTCGTTGAACTTTGTATACGAATTTTAAATGAATACCTATTAATAATAATATAAAATATTTTGGACGTCTAGTACCAGTACCATCCATGGGGTCCGATTTATAGCAAAACGTAGCAGAGTGATTAATTATGAGTACGTCCTAGATAACTTATATAAGTGAAGTAGTGAATATTATTATATTATTAGTCTAGCATTTAGCGGTTGATATTTTTTACGGCCTGTAATTGTATGAAAATTGGTTAAAAACTCTAGTGTGAAATTTTGATTTCAAATAATAGATTAGAATTAAGTTAATTACGAGCTAGTGATTTATGAACAATATTCAATTATCATCAGGGTCGCTTAAGTAAAATAGTTATCGTTTTTTTCAATAAAATTGTTCTATTTACACATGTATATCGTTCATGTCAATATTAACTATTGTTATGTACCTATTTTATTTGATTTTTATTACAAAATATACAAATTATAAAGATATATGACACATTCTACTAACAAACTTGGTAAATGCAGACTAAAAGCGAAATATTTTTATGAGGATTTTGAGTTCGGTACACTTAACCCAATAAGCTAAGTATTTCCAAATAGTATTATTCGTTGTTGCAGTTTCCATAAACTGCAAATCTGTTAAAAACGCATACTGAAGTACGTCCATCCAATCAAATAATTTTACAGACATACAGTTTATGGTAAGTGACGAGATATTTCTTTAGACTTACATTTTTCCTTCTCAGGAGGGTTAGATATTTTTTAACTAAAACTGCTTTTCAAAAAAAAAAAAAAAATGAACGAAATTTTTATACAAATACGAAATAGAACTTATCTTACAATATGAGTACTTAAAAACGATTAGGTTTTATTTTCAATAATTGTGCACAAGTTTTTACTATTATAATTTGTATGAAAATTTCTTATGTAAATTTCGACGCTTCCATTACCGCACAAAATGCATAACCCAATACCGTACACAAAAAAATAGTATGATACTGCAAACATGTATTAAATATATGAATGTAATGATTTAAACATGAATAATAAACATAAATAAAAATAATTAAGGTACCTATATTGGCTTAAAATTTAAACTTTTTTTTTTTCATGTCCCATTATAGTATTTTATTTAATAAAAGCGTTTACCTACTGATACACCAAATTGGATTCTCGTTCCCGATAACATTTCCACATTCTATATTACTTCCGTTCCCTTCTTAATTTATCACATTTTCGCTTCATTAATAACTTGTTGATCTATTAAAACATTAATCTAAAAATGTAAAATAAATAAAACCTGTATTTTAATAAATAATTGTCAATACGTACAACTTGAAAAATAGATTGATGTGGTATATACAACTTAAACCAAAGTTGACTGTGATATGATTCAGCATTGTTAGACTGGGGCTATACATGACGTTTTCCGTCGCGGATCGTATTCCGCTGCTTACAAATTATATTTCTTAACATTAGAGTGGCCATCCATGATGGTCACGATTTGTCGCGGAAACGCTGGGCATCGTTTTTACGTCTGAGCACCGAAGCAATAAAAACGCGAATCTTCAATTTTCAATTATTCGAAAAATCCTATTTTACCCCCTGGCTGAGAACCGCTGCATTAATTCACATTAAAAGTAGAAATCATTCGGTATCAATATAATTTTCAACTACATAATTAACAAATGCCGTACATTTTGAATCTTTTGAAGCTTCAGATAAAACGTCAATAAAAGCATCGAAAACCAAATTTACATCGGTAAATAAATACGGAATCCGAAAAACATTTTAAACCACTTTCCACAATCTTTGAATTTTTCTTTTGTACTCTTTAAGAAGCATTTTAAAATAATTTATTTTTCAAGCCACGATAATCGTCAAAAATATACGTGTAATACGTAATGGGATATACAGTATTATAAAATTTGTGTGCGGTTTTGTCCCATGCGTATTTTGCGCATTTCACGCGACGCCCGTGAATTTATGTAGTATACCATAAATAGTGTTAGAATATACAATGATTGTGTGCCTTTTTTCAACCTTGCGCTTCTAGGATTAGGATTTTTAATCGCTTCTACCTAAAATAGTGTAGTATCATTCTAGTAACTCAACTAGTAATAATAATATGTAAAAATAATTAACATAGAGATTTAAAAATTATAGTTTTGAATGAATTCAACTATGTCAAATTATTTCTCCAATTATAGTTGATTAACAATCAACTATTATTAGTACTTGTACGCAATGCAAAATATCGCATAAGGATAAAGGTCACAGTCCAAAAACTTAGATTTAATTATCCAACCTACTTATTGTACATGTATATTGAATGATTGTCAGATTATTGCTAACGTATACAAAATATCTACGAAAGATTATCACTTTTTTTTTTTGTGGTCGTTTTTGTTGCCTGGACTGTTTGCAAATCAAATAATGGACTACCTATACATAGTGTGTCCGTTTACGTTCAAACGGGTTGCAGCCGTCAAACGACGACTGGCGGTTAGGAGTGGGAGAGGTATGTTGTCGAAGATAAACGCGACTACCTGCAGTGGTTTAATACTTTTGTCAATTTTTTAGGGTTTTCAATAAAACCCGGCTGCCTTATTGCCAGTCACCGAACACGGCTGCAACGTGTTTATATATGGTTATACCATTGATGATGGTACCGAGCCCGAATGTGAATGAAAATGAGCAGATTTACATGTAAAAGGATGTACAACAAATAAAAAATATAAACCTGTCCTAGAGTACTATTAAGAATCATTGAATTTAAATAATAAAAAGGATCGCAGGTATACATTTATACACGTATACAACGAACCAAGATAATGGTTAAGATATAAAGTAGTCTGATGAAACCGTTGAGAACATATATGGGAAGAATAATGTCTTCGGGTTTTATTTTATTCATGCTATGTGTTAACTTATTACTACTAGGTACTACTTTAAGGATAATGCGTATAATATCATATATTGAGTTAATTATTTCCATTTTAAACTCTACAGTTATCAAGCATTGTGAAACAAGTGTATAAATAATTACATTTACATGTTTAAATAAAAACAAAAATTACGATTTTTTCAACTCAATAATTATTTTATATGATTCAGTTGTTACCAAGAAATTCTTTCTGTAAAACTATGTTTTCAATTAAATGATCCCTATTAATTACATGCCGTCAAACATTTTTAAACTTGTATAACATAATTATAAATAAGTAGGTACATATTATTAATTTATAATATATTTTATATGTGTTAATAATATTTTACAATTCTGACAGTAGATTATCATTATAGTATTAATTAATATTTTAATAACTTATACGTTACGATGGAATTATAATATCGTTGTAATGAATTATTAATAAGTATCTATAATTTCTATATTTATATGTACGGTATAATGTTTGTAATTGAATATCCAAAACAACTCAATAAAAACTAAAATTAAAACATCGTAGACTGGCATATATTTAATGATTAATAAAATAAAATATAATTAAATAATATACTATACATGTATAATATACATATATTTTATATGTATATATTGTTATACTCTTTGGTGATCACTATATTTTCAATGTACACTAAATA